ATTCCATTTAGTGATATGATTGTTGGTGGTGTGTCATTGTTAAATCAGTCTATAGATGAACATAATTGTGAATTAGGTGGGAGGAAAAAAAGGTCTCTGAAGTAAATGCTATATTCTTTCTGCTTGGGGAAATCTGCATAAAACTTTTTGCTTGTTGGTCTTCAGGCTGGCGTTTCATAGATGCAAAGCCATTTTTACTTCAGATGACAAAACAGAAGGTCCAATCCCAACCCTTGTAAGGAGAGGACTCACAATTTTCAACCCACTGTGCAAAATGCAGGCAGTAGCTTGCCTTGCTTCGAAGCATATGCCAACACTGCCATCTAGCTTCTGCAGATGCTTTTGTATGCTGTTGCTTCATTTTAGCTGATGACATTTACGTGCTTTGTAGCTTTATCAAGCCACTGGCAGCAGCCAGGGCAGCATAACATTGGTTTCTGTTCAGATCTATGTATTCCTTTCCACCATGATATATTAAATGCACACAGTGTGGGATGAGTGATGGCAGATGATTGCAGCAAACAGGAAGAAACCTGTAGTAGCCTTGCAGTCAGAAACCACCCTTGCATTTGAAATAAAGAATTGCAGCTCTTCAGTCCAAATTTTTATGTGATTTTTGGCAGCATCACCACTCAGACAATCCAGTCCTATGTCTGTTCTGTATTTTTAATCAGGAAGCTTTGGTAATGTCTCCCAACACACACCACCCTATTTGTTTCTGGTTTCTTCCACTGTGCTGCGCCTCTCTCTTACCCTTTTTTCTGCTCCTGTGCCATACACCCTTTTTTGTCTTTCACCACAAAACTGCAGGACTATATAGGACTATATACATTTCATGGGCAGTCAATACCAAAATTTTTAAAAAATCGGTAGGCATCCTTTTACCAAGCTGTGAGCATGTGTATATTTACCAAAATCTGTATTTATACTGCTCTTAGGATTCAGGTAATCTTGCATGAAAAACAGGACAATAAAAGTATGCAGTTATTGAGCAGACAAAGGGCACTGTTCAGCTGTGGTTTGAACTTGAGTAATTTCTCCGTTTTCAAACAGTCTGTAATGCAGGAATTAAGCAATTATATTCCTGCTGCCTTGCTGTTATAATTTGGGAGAAATTGTTTATCACCGGTAGATGAAGGTGATTTAAGGCAGAACTCAGCCCACCATTTTCCGCTTGGCTGATTATTTTATTTCCATTTTTTGACATTTTTTTTCAACTGTCTTCATTAAATAACTCAGCTACAACATTAGCTATGCTTACACACTCTTGTCAACCTTGTAATTAACACGTAGGGGTACTAACATGAGGCACGGATATATTTGAAAGGGAATCTTTTGTATCTGCAGAAGCAGCTATGAGTGTGACTGCATTCCTGGATGAATCAATTAATCATTTCATTAACTTAAAGTGCCTCTTAGCGATGCTTATCAAAAGCATCAAAATCACAATCTTCCCAAACAATCCCCTGAAGCTCAAGCAAACAAACAAAACACTTTATGACTAACAAACATGCATGTTGCTGTCATAAATAGGGCAACACTTCATTTAAAAAATAAATAACAAGATCTGAAGGGTGTTTCATCAGCATTATGAATATGTTCCCTTAGGGATGAAAGGCATCAGAACAGCCATCTCAGGTGATAGCATCAAATGGTTAATACTGCCTAAACATAATTTTTGCTTGCTGTACCACTTTGGACAGGAAATGTTTTCTGCTCTTCACTGCATCTTTGTGGGTAAGGAGAGCTGACTGCTGCCAGCTGGATGCTAAGCATGGGTCTGGGTCCTTCCTGCAACACCTTGAATGCAAGCATAAGGGATCTGCATGTGTTCCTTGAGAGAGGGGATCTCTGCTTATAAATAAATAACAGTCACCAAAACTGCACAGGAACTGAATTTTTAACACTGCTAATGATGGTACAGTGAGATTATATTGTGTTATATCAGGAGACTAGCTATCTACTGAAGGTTTTCTTAAATCACTTGTCAGAACCTAATCCTGGACAAGGACCCTTATGGCTTTGGCCTCATGACAATGCATAAGTTCTGGGCAGAAGAAGCTTAAATTCAGTGAATATTTTCTCCAATGCGACAAACAGCTGAATCTAAACCACAGGTTTCTGGGATTTCTGTCCTTACATGGATCTCTTTGTTGCAAGGTTTGTGATGATCTGAACAGCACAACAGAGAGGTCTGTCCTCTTGAAGGGCTGGTTTCAACCCTTTGGAGTGCATCTAATTTTAATTCTTTCTCACAAAGCTGCTGTTACTAGGCAAGCAACAGAGGCCAGCAGAAAGTTCGAGTGATGGAAACTACAAGCTGTGCCCTCCCCTCTACTCTTGAAAGGGGCATTTCCCCACCTCTGCAGAGACTTTCATCCCACTCCTTCGCTACCTGGGAGAGCTGTTTTGTGCTCCTATCATCACCTTGGCATGGCTTCAGCTCACATCTGGACAGAGCACTGAGGATTTCCACAGCCAACAGTGACTCAGGCGTGCCGCTTGCATAGGACAGAGAAAAGGAAGGACAAGGCAAGGCACAGAAGCTCTTGAGACAGTTTTCAACCTGCAGAACATCACACTGCTTTTTTAGTTCTTTTTTAGTTAGCGCAGTACAATAATTGTGGATAATCTTTCTGCCTCCTTGCTGTTACAGGGCAATAGTTTATTCAGTTGCAGGAAGTTTCTGGGCATCTCGGATCTTTGATGTGAGCAGCTGTGGGCTCACACTTCCAGTGATCAGGGACAAAGAGCAGCTCCAGCTTTTTGGGAACTACTTGGAGATACTTTCCTCAGCACAGGTCTGCCATTCACTGCGAGCAGGGAAACTGCCTAGACTCAGAAGCAATGATGTGGAGTGCTTCTCCATCTGGTGGCTGTTCACCGGTAAAACAGTTCTGGGTGGCGGATGCTCAGCCTCTCTGTCTGCATAAAAACCTTTGTCACAGCACTGCTGAACTCATGACAGTTTTCATGTATTTGTGAGGATCTGTTAAAAATAAACAAACAAACAAAAAACAACACACACATACACACACACCAAAAAAAAAAAAAAAAAAAAAAACCAACACAAATCGAATGGTGTAAGCCACTGATTGAATTCTTTGCCACTGCAGTGGCTGACAAGGAACTGTCCTCAGCCCACAGCCTCCATCTCTCATTTGACTGCCCTGCTGTCAGAGCAGCACCCACCTCCCCATGGGGCCTGAAGGCCAGGTGTAGTATCATGCCTCCTGCTCTACTTCCAATGGAGATGCCAAAAGGCCCAATGGCTTGGGGAGCAAAGCCTGAAGAGGTTCACAGGTCTGGTGAGGTGAATCAGCACAGTGCAGGGAGAGAAATCACCAGATTTCTGTTCTTCCCATCCATGCAGAAAAACACCTCGCCTCATGAGTCACTCCTTACTGTACTGGAGCTTTTCACAATACAAATTCTAGATGCTGTGACAAGAAATTGATTATGTTTAAGCTGGACTGACTTCTTCCTGTTTGTTTGAACAATAATGAACAATACTGAACAATAATGCAACAAATCTGTTGCACCTGACCCAATTCTCTGTGCCCAGCCTACACTGTTCTCTCTTGGAAAATGTGGACAGTAATGAAAATTGCAGCTAAATACTTTGGATTGTTGTTCTCTTTGCTGTGCTACCTCCCCCACCAAGAGCACCTTCAGCTACCCATTTGGTGACTCCAGTGTCACAGTACTCCAAGTGGCTCCCAACTTACCTAAGAAATGACACACACAGTGCATTTAGGAAGTAGGCCAAATGAGAACCATCTGCATCAGTATCCCTCTTTTTATGCTATCAAGAGAAGCAGATAAGTTTCCTAGTGGCAGTAATGGATGTAGTTAATGATTTCAGCCTTAGCTCCTAGGACAGAACTAGTGTGTGTGTCCCAGGTGCAGCAATAGGCACAACTAGTATGAGTAAAGCAAAAGCAAGCACCAGCACCAGGACTGCTAGTCACAGCATATATCTGGTATTGGCAAGCCAAAGTGTTAGTACCACTGCCAGACCCCACACATCTGCAGAGGAATGCAATTTGATAGCAAACTTTTAGGTTGGCTGGTTGGTAATACCTCTGCCCAGAAAATGGGCAAGGATACAGATGGGTAGAGAGGCCTGCCTGGCTGTGTGGAGTGGAGTGAGTATCTGTAGGACGACAGCAGAAGCACATGTGCATTTGGGATGACACCAAGCTGGTGAGTATGAAACCAATGAGCACGAGCTCTGCCAAAGAGGACATGGGCTACTGGTAGATGGCAAGGTGAACATGAGCCAGCAGAGTGCTCCTGTAGCCCAGAAAGCCAGCTGGATCCTGGGCTGCATCAAATGAAACATAGCCAGCAAGCTGAGGAAGGTGATCCTGTCTCTCTACTCTGCACTGGTGAGATCTCAATTGGAGCACTGCATCCAGGTGGGGAATACTCAGGACAGGAGAGATGTGTACCTGTTGCAGTGCAACTAGAGGAGGGCCACAAAAATGACCCAGGGGATGGAACACCACACCTATGAGGACAGGCTGAGAGAGCTAGGATTGTTCTGCCTGGAGAAGGCATTGGGGAGGGGGTACAGAAGCTGACAGATTCTTAGGCAGTGCCTGCTTTGACAGGAAAAGCAAAAATAATTTTAAATTAAAAGAGGGTAGATACAGACTAGATGTAAGGAAAAAATTATTTACAAAAAGGGTACAAACAGGTTGCCCAGAGTGATGCTGGATGCCCCATCCTTGGAGACACTCAAGGCCAGGCTAGACCTGGCTCTGGCACCCTGATGGGCTGCAGGTGTCCCTGTTCGTTGCAGGGCAGTTGGACTAGAGGGCCTTTAGCGGTCCCTTCCAACTCAAACAAATGTATCTTTCCACATATATTTATATTTCTGTACACAGACGCTGTGGAAGGCAGCCTGCCGACTGCAGCCTCACTCTCCCCGCCTGCCTCTCCCTCCCCGACACGCGATGTAACAAATCAATAAGGAGCGGACTTTTAAGCTCGTCTTTTTTTCACGAAAGCAGCTCAGCCTTTATTCGCCCAGTTGACCGTGCAGCTCCTCCCGTCCTCCGACGGCTCCCTCGGAGACCACGCCGCCGTCCTCCCGCTCCGCCTATGGCAGCCGAGGCACCGCCAGCTCGCCCTGCAGCTGCCGCCGCGCCGCCTCCCGGGCCCCGTACAGGACGTAGCCCCAGGAAAGCAGCACCACAGCGGCCAGCACCTAGGAGGCCAAAGGTTAGCAGCAGCCTCAAGCCGCCTCTCCCGGCACCCCCCAGCCCCCACGCACCAGGCGGTAGAGCGGGCGCGGATCGCGCCGTCCCTGCGGATCCATGGCGGGTAGCTGCAGCTTCCGTACGGTTGTACAGCGCCGCCAGGTAGAGCGGAAGTGACGTATGAAACCCACGACCGGTTCCGCTGACGTCAGCACGGCGCCGCCCCGCCGCCGGCGGGGGCGGAGGCAATCGTTCCCGTGGCAACGCCACTTCCGCCGACGATGTCGGAGCCGCCGCGAGGTGTGGCGAAGGCCGCCCGCCGCCGCCGCCATCCCGCGGGGGAGGAGCGGCGGAACGGGCCGGGCAGCGTTTGCGGCCGGCCTCGGCACGGGCTGAAGACGCCATCGGGCCGGACTCGGGCTCGGAGCGAGGGCTCGGCAGAGGTGAGCGCGGTTTTCGGCCCGACTGGAGGTTCGGGGCGTACCCGTGTGGCGGAGCGTATCCGTGCGGGGACCGCTGCGGGCCCACAGCTGCCAGTGGCGGTGGCGGCCGGCGGGGAGGGTGCTGCCGTGGAAGCAGCGCGGGCGCTTGTCTGCAGCGGTTCGCAGCGTCCGAGGGCAGCGCTGGTCCCCTACTTTGAATAGGCGGATTTATTGCTCGGTACCGCCGACGGCCTGACGGAACAAAGGGGCTGTGGGTCTGTGGGTGGGTGCGGGGTAACGCCCGGCTGCGATATCATCCGAGCAAGAACGGTTCAGTGCGTTCCTGGACCAGTCTTCTGGTCCAGCAAGCTGTACAAGGTGCACTCAGCACAGTTGGACCAGCTAAATGCAAACAGAACCAATTTTTTTCAAAAGGTAACAGTAGCTTCTTCCATCTTACATTTCTAAATGCTGTTGTTTTTTTTTTTTTTTTGGAAGTGTGCTTTGGAGGATTCTGTGTGAATCCTAAACTTACCAAAGTGGGGAATGGGGAGAAGACAGACTTATTGTTTGTTTGTCTTACATCCACCAGCATCATTTAGGCTCCATTTAAATCTTGCAGCACTGGAAAACCTGATTTTAATGTGAAGAGAAGCAAGCAAAGCAGTTAAGTTGTGCTGCTTCTCTGTTTAGTATTCTCTCAGAACTAATGCTGGTGTTTTCAACCTTATTGGGTGACTGTTGTATGTTTCTGTGTATAGACTTAAATGCTTCTTTCTCTCAGGAAGAATAGTGATCTTTTTGTCTCTTTCTTTTGTAGAACACAACTAATACAGCCAAGGAGTTTTCAGAAGACAGCAGTTTTTTGCCAAAGGCTAGCAATAGCAAGGTGCACCAGACCATGCCAACAGATGCCTCTCCTGACTCTAAGTGCCCCATTTGCTTGGACAGATTTGACAACGTTGCCTATCTAGATCGTTGCTTGCACAGATTCTGCTTCCGTTGTGTCCAGGAATGGTCAAAAAACAAAGCAGAATGCCCACTCTGCAAACAGCCTTTCTTTTCTATTTTCCATACAGTTCGTGCTGAAGATGATTTTAAGGAATACATACTCAGACCTTCAGAAAATGGTTCTTTTGCCAGCCCTGATGGCCGGAGATTTCGTTACCGTACCACCTTAACGAGGGAACGTCGCACTTCCTCTTACCATCGAGGCAGTTCCTCTTCTCGAAGGACGCTGTCCCCTCCGGATAACGGGATTTTGTTTGAAGGGTTGTCAAGCCAACCTATGCGGCAGAGGGATGGAGAGATTCAGCAGATGATAAGAAGGCTGGCCTCACGTAGGCAGGCTAGTGCAGAGGGCAGATCTCTGCGGCAGATCCAGGAGGAGGACATGATAAACTTCCGCAGAGCCCTGTACCGCACTGGCATGCGTGTTCGTAGCATTCAGGATGGTGGCCGCTATCGAGACATTTCTGCAGAGTTTTTCCGCCACAACCCTGCCTGCCTACACAGGCTGGTTCCCTGGCTGAAGCGAGAGCTTACAGTGCTGTTTGGTGCCCATGGTTCTTTAGTTAATATTGTGCAACATATCATCATGAGTAATGTGACCAGGTATGATCTGGAAAGCCAGGCTTTTGCTGATGATTTAAAGCCATTCTTACTGAATCGGACTGATCACTTCCTACATGAATTCATCAGTTTTGCCCGATGTCCTTTTAACTTAGAGGCATATGATCAGCATGCCAATTATGACTGTCCCGCGCCATCGTATGATGAAGGAAGCCACTCAGACTCATCAATTATTACAATCTCTCCAGATGAGGCAGATCCTCAAGGGCCAGAACACAGTTCATCCATGTCTGGGGTTGGTCAGGCCCCTTGGGATGATGAAACTCCAGGGCCTTCGTATTCCATTTCAGAAGAGGTTCGTGCCACTGTAGCTTCTCCTCTAGAGATGTCAGAAAGTTCTGATGAGGATTCTGCTAGGAAGAGAACCACACTGCATCCTCAGTTACAGGCTGGTATTGACTCAAATGAGAGTGACTCTTCATCAGACAATTGTGTTATCGTTGGGTATGTTAAACCATTAGCTGAGAGGACACCAGAACTGGTTGAGCTGTCCTCAGACTCTGAGGAGTCCATCAGGGAGGAGAAGAGAGAAAATGTGAAGAAAGAGCAGTCAATTCAGGGTCGCAGTTGGAGTGACAGTGAACCAAGCAGGGCTTCATCACCTCGCTCGCCCCTGTACAAGGAGAATGTGAGTAGTTGTAGGAGCTCCTTGTCCTCTGCAGTTGAGAAGACAGACTCAAAGACTGATGAGAAGAACAAAGATAAAGTAAAAGATCTTTCTCCACACCACTCAGTCTGGAGTCCATTTCCAGAGACAGACACCATTTCTTCTCCCTATAGAAAAAATAAAAGTAAAGTAAAAAATTTATCTCCGCTGGATTCGATCAGGAGCCTGTCTCCAGAGACAGACACCATTTGCTCTCCTTATAGTAAGAATAAAGGTAAAGTAAAAGATCTGTCTCCACTGGACTCAGTCAGGAGCCTTTCTCCAGAAACGGACACTGCTTGTTCTCCTTACAGTCACCAATTGTCCAGAAAGAGAAACACCAGGAGTCCTCAGTCTTATTCACAGAACAGTCGTGACAGTCATGGCCATCGGTCTAGGAGGGATCATCCTAGCAAATGTCAGTCTAAAAAAAGACGATCAAGAAGCAGAGATGGTAGTGAACATAGGAGCAAAAGAAGCAGGAGGAGGTCAAGAACTTGTGACACGAGCCTTTCTCTAAAAAGCCAGAGGGGCTCCCTTAGTCGTGAGAGCACTACATCCAGAGAGGTAAGCAGATCACGGTCACGTAGCAAAGGCCATGGCAGAAGGAGGTCAAGGAGCAGAGACAGTGATTATTACTATAGAAGAGACAATTACCAAAGTAGATACCAGTGGGGTTATGCCTTTTATAGTCGAAAGACAATTGGAGATGGCTCCTCGTGCAGGAAGAGGACTCAGTCTAAGGCTCACTATTCAAGGCAATCTGCTAGTCCAGAATTCAGGATACAATCTTTTACTGAAAGAACAGACCCGCGTAGCCAGAGGGGATTACATGAGAGACATTACTACTATTATGAACGATGCAGATCAAGGAGTCGATCAAGCACCAGGTCAAGGACCCCTTGTGGAGGGACAGACAGATTGAAAAGTGAAAAGCCTGGTGGAAAGAGGAAGTACAAAACTCGACACTTGGAGAATGCAGCGAAGGAGAGCACTAGTCTGGAGAGAGAAAAGGACCCCAAGAAAACTTTCTCAAGGTTTCGTGACTGCTGCAAAAATGAAGACAGCCTTTCAGACAATCAAGTAAGTAGTGAAACAAAGCATAAGAAAAAGAAGAAAAGGATGAGAAGCCCAAGTGTGGAAATAGTCTACGAAGGCAAAGTGACAGACACAATGAAGCATGCTAAGAAAAAAAAGAAGAAGCATAAGAGGAAACATCGAAAACATCACATGAGTAACTCAACACATTCTTCTCCAGTGGTTATTACAATTGATAGTGATAGTAGCAAGGAGCCAGAAAGTACTGAATGCGATAGCAGTGTTACTTGGACTGGCACAACTCACTTGAATGAGAGGGAATGTGAGTCTCCAACTTCTTTCCTGGGGATTACAGGATGTGAAGATATTTACAGAGTGAGTAAGGAAACTAGAGGAGTAGTGAAAAAATGCAGTGTTCCTACCAGAGGAAGGGACTTAGATGATGACGTCAGAAATCCTGGAGGTGAGCTTGTGGAAGTAACAGAAAGAGGTGATCGAAGTCTTGACTTAGCTGATACAGCAGGCAGTAACACAGAAACTGTAGTTAGTCACAGTCAAGAAGCACAAGCAGCACCTTCTGGTCAACTGTCTTCCCCTAGGACTTCCTTACTAGGGCATCCAGAGAGACCACCACTGATACTAAGACTGCCAAAGAGACTTGTCAACAGACCTTGTTGGTTTGAGTCCCTTGAAAAAAACATGTAGCATATTTTATGCTGAACAGTCCTTAAAATTGTGAATTTGTTTCTAATTATGTTTTTCTCCTATAAGAACAAAGCACCAGGTGTTCTTCTGTGTGTGTGTGTGTGTGTGTGTTTAAAAGTGTCTGGGAAATGTTTAAACCCATTGAATGTTTATGCACTTTTATGTCAAGTAAGTATAGGAGTATAGGAGCTTGATGATCTGTTAAGGTCTCTTTGGAAGCTAGGATTTTGTAAAGCCATCCTGTATGTAATATACATCCGCAGAGTACTTCAAAGCTGTGTTTAAAAAAAAAAAAAAGTCATAAACCAAAAGACAGTGAATACACTTTATGGGGATTGCTCTTGTTACAGAGGAAGGTTGCTTAGTTCATAAAAAATGAATCAGGCTAAATTGTGTATCATTTTGATCTGTGTGGTTTAAGTTGATCTCTGTGGAAAAGCAGTAAGCTATTTCCACATACATACCGAACGGCACTTCCAGTAACATGAGTTATGTGAATATCTTAATAAAGCAATAAGAGTTTTTGTTTAAAAAAAAATGAATGTAAATCCATTTGTGCTGAGAGGGGTACTCCAGACTGGAAGATTATCAGCTTCCAACTCACTGAAAGCAGGAACACTTTTACACTTTTGATCACATTCTTCAGGATCTGAGGATCTGTCTAGTTTTGAATGTTCAACAGCTTCTCTGTCTACTTCTTCTAATGTCAGACTACTCCCTTGGGATTTTTTTTCTCCACGTGTCCTTCTCATGTTTCTATATCTG